CGAGATGTAGGCACACTCTCCACGATGACATAATTCAGGTTCTCAACATTGTCACATTCGACATCAATTGCTGACTCAGCAACTTGTGCATGATCTACATTAACAACATTGCAGGTTCTATCCTTCTGTGGAATACTTTTGTCAAGGTTGTTGTTTGCTTCATGAGCAGAACATGCATTGTGAGTGGGCCATTCTTGATCATTATGTCTGGGTTCATTTGAATACTCAGAGGGTAGGACTTCTTCATCATTCTTAGTATCTGATTTCACATGTTCTCTGTCACTATTCTCCTGATCTTGCTCAAAGTCTTTATTATTTTCATTATCTTGGCTAAGATCATCTTGTAGTGATCCCTCGGAGTCTAGCAAGGAGAGCCGCTGTTTCTTTTGCAAGTGCTTATGTCGTACAGGTGCTACAGGACTTTCCTGGGACTCTGGTGTTCCCGGAGTATACCCATTACCCACAACACCTTCAGCTGTCCACTCATTGCTATCATAGTTACCAATATTTACAGATGCCTCAATATTATTTGCATTGGAAACATGAACATCCGACTTATTTTCCACTGTCTTCGTCTTTGTCTTATCTATTTGGTAAGCCCGCTCTCGCAAGAAAACTTCACGGTCAACAAGATTTTTCGATCTAAAGTCAGACTTGAGAATGGGGGAGGATATCTCTACACATTTCACATTATCTAGTGGTTTCGTCTCGACTAAAGCAGCAGAATCTCGTGGTCTTTTGAAGAGTTTACGGAAAGAATCCATCCTGTTTAGTTGAGAGCTCCTTGGAAGAGAATCGCTATTAAAACTTTGTGATTTTTGAAGAGGTTTTCTTTGCTTTTTACTCTTCATGTCTCTGGATCTTTCATCAGTACTAGTGCTTTTTCCACGCAAGGCATTCAACCATCCAAATGACTGTGCTGATTTTGCTTTTTCTTTCCGAATTTTTTTCTTTTCTTTTTTGGCGTTCTCTTGATTGCCAAGCTGTTCCGAAGATTTACTTCCAGAGAGACTTGTAAGATCTTTAACTTTTTTGTTATTAAATAATCCTTTTTTCTTATGTTTCTTCTTGGTATCACTTGTTGAACTCCAGGAACTGACTTGATGTTGTTCAGCTCGACTTCCATCCATGCTGTCCTTACATTCGTGTCTGCCTTCTTCGGCATCTTCCTGTACGACATTCAGCGTTGTCGGTCGGTCGCTACCCTCCATCGTAGAAATGGTTTCGGTCATGGGGAACTGGGCAAGAATATCTAGAGCACTCGATCTTACAAAAGTGTGGGTGACTGTGTTTATTTCTGATAAGTCGACTTCTTGTTTTCCTTCAGGGTCTGTGCCATTTGTCAAGCAATTTGTTGCCGTATCATTACCATCCTCGGACTAATAAAAAATGAAAAAAGTTGTTATTCAAAGAGCAGTACAGGTTTCTCACACAATATGGTATGAGCATTGAATCATCTATTTAGACATTGTGACATCCAAATAGTTTACTATTTAACCTATTATTTAATAGTTAGCATAACATCAGACAATTTCATTAATAATTGGCTAATGAATTGCGAGGGTGCTGTATTCTTTCCAGTCAATAAATTAACCCTCTTTGCTATGTTACACCTCATTTTACACTGTCTTAATGCCAGACAGTTTTAATTAATTTTACTTTTACCAAATGAATTTTAAAATTATATATTGACAACAGCTTCTTTCCTTGCCAGTAGGTATATGTATAAATTGGCTGGTGATAGATACATTTACACTAGACAAAAACAGATACATACATCACAGCATGGATAATAAAAAGTTATTTTACAATCCATGATCACAGTAGGATATACAGTAGGGCACTGTGTATTCTATGAAATATACACTGTATATAATGTGCAGTGTTTCATTTTCTGAGATTTTCATACCTGACAATTCTGTAATAATCTATATATAACCTAGACCACCATTCATAATTAAAATCCCATGACCAAATTTTATTACAATCAAAGGAAATAACGCCAACACTGCAACACAATACTACTGTTATGAATATTCATCTTTCTTTACTTTGAATTAAGAGAGTTAAAGAAGACTTTAATACTTCCCAAATACAATAGTTGTTTAAACGATTAGGTTGTTTGAATGGAATTGATGCACACGAAAGTCACACAATAAACCACACAAAATTATGAAACTTAAAATCCAAACTGAACAAACTAAACAAAAACGACTGTCTAATGTTTTCATTTGTTACTAAAGCAGTATATAACTTTAAGTTAATACGTATGCCTTGTGTTACAGGAAAAGTAAAAATGCATTTACAGTCGCATTCAACTTACGCTGTTTAGGGGATCAAAGGCTGATCTTTGGTCATCATTGCTGGACAATTCATCCTCAGAATGTTGTTCTTCCAGACATTCTGCGGTTTCATACCAGCTTCGTGCCAACGGGGCTCCTTTGGGAAGTAAATTTTCTTCAAATGGCTTCACTGTGCTGAGGTTTGGTGGTAAGGTGAAAGTATTATGACCAAAATCTGAAATACGATCGGGCAGACATGACAGTGACGAGGATTTCTTTTTCAAAACAGATGACTGCGAGGATGATTGTGTTTCATAATCGTACCCAGATGAAACACTAATTTGAGATGATGCCTCTGAAGAAACAACACTCGACTGCCTTTTGGTAGTTTCGTCTTTAAATTCTGAGTCCATTTCTTGCATTTCATGGACAAAAACCTTTCATTTCACTCACAAAATATCAAAATATTTATTCGCGAGTCGCAGGAACAAGGAAACCAGTGATCAATACATTCAAAGTTGCAAAAGTTGCAAAATAAAACCGAATATAATATCTTCACTAAATAAACTTGCACAATATGCGCGAGTGTAAAGTATCATAACTTTAAAACAAACAGTATAAACTTTCCCAATTGATAATTAATAAAATGGCTCAGACACCGTCAAAACTATTCGTGCTTGTCAACAACAACACTGATAAATTATTCCATTCAAAGAATCACTTCTCAAATTACATGTTCGGACGAAATTTGATATTGCATTCGTTTCGTATCCAAAAATTCGTGTAAAATACAGCAGTTTCCACCAAAATGAACAGAGTAGACGCCAGATTGGAAAGGAAAAGCAAAAACGGGCACTTTACCATGCACTGACCCTTGACTTAATAATAGAAGACTTGAAGACTATTTAATATTCTCGCGTGCTCGAGCGGAACAAAGTCGGATATTGGTCGATATTTGAGGCTGAGAAATTTATTGACAAGATTTAAATTATTTGCATTATAATTATGAAGAATAAGCCCTGGGAATTTATCTACAATTTCAGAGGGCTTGAATACAGGGCCTGCGTTCTGGCAATTCTAAAACGAAAAACTGCAGCATTTATAATTTAATACAATCAAAATTAGTATACCGACCTTGCTGGATATTTTATATACAAATGAAAATGCATTTATTATGATGCAAGATTTGTTTTGATACCATTTCAGTATCGACACTGAGTAAATTTATTTTAGAAAATGCAATGTGCAAATATAAACGCTACCCTGCTCGCAAATTGGAATAAGATGCGAAATGACAGATAGGCCGGGTGACTGGATTTTGATCTTTCTTGAAACAAAAACCGTTTGTCACGAGGCAAGTACATTTCATTGAACTTATTGAAGGACACTCAATGTTTTAACAAGAAAAAACCCAACTCTCTCACAGAGGCAATAATATGAAAACAGCAATATTCAATGATACACAAATTCAGCGCTGATTCACTTGAATATTTTCCAAAAGAAATTGCTGAAACAGCTACTAGCATATTTTACCCATAGATATGATTTTACCCTAGCATTTTTAAAACAAATTTTTACCTGGAATTTGTCAATTTGCACATGAAGTAGCCCCATGACGTTGCACATTTAATCTTCGACGTTATTCTTCCAAAAATAGGTATTTAGGCGCTGAAATTTCAAAGAATACAATTATTTACAACGAAGGAAAAAGTTGACCATGATTTCACTTCTGGTGAAATTTTATTTCCGGATTCCATGATCCTATTGCGCAATACAGAATGTGACGTATGCGATATCTGCGGAAGAGGACATGCGGATACAGGGAACGACGAAGAAGCGTATAGTACAGGAGAGAACGGATTACGATAGTTATGCAAGAGCCATTTATTGGGAATTTATTACAATTATTTGAAATAACAAAATGTGAGATGAAAAGCTAGCAAACTTATTACAGCTGTTATTAGGCCGCGTTTACACTATGACGCTACGGTTAACATTCCGTTAAAAATTTACTACGTTTCTAGCATTGAGACTATATCGTGTTTACACTATAAAGGAGTGGTTTGCCGTAGCGTACTAAGGACCACTAGGCACTACATTTGCCACTCTGAATGCAAATCAATTTCGTTAAAAATTTACTACGTAAATTCTTAGTATTGTGTTTACACTGTAATGGAGTGGTTTGCCGTAGCCTATTAACTACGGACCACTAACGTTTGGCACTCCGGATGCAAATCACTACGCTACGGTAAATTTGCCGTAGTGTTAACGCGGCCTTAGTTATAATTAAATGTGTCTTGGTTTGTGGAGCACCATGTATATCTATTATTTATTTAGTACATTTTATCCAAAAGGGTACGGCCACCCACAGAGCCGAGGCTCCAAAAACGTTCGATCGGTAAGCTGGGATATTCATCAGCGGTAATAGTACGACATGAAAATCTGAGCTGATGGATCGAAATCTTTGCAATAATATATATGCATCGTGTTTTCCACAAACGAAAACAAGTGTTCCATCGGCATATAAAAATATAAAAATTATTATTAAGCTAAATAGTTTGTTTTAGAAAACATTTTACATGAAGTATGTTACCACTTTCATTAGAAACGGTGCAAATGTCGGAGGTATTAGTACGAGGCAACTTCAGCACACTGTACACTATACACTGTACACTAGCCATTATTTTTCCATTTGCTAAAAAATTGCGCAAATAAAATCTATAACGAAATGCTATCCGCACTGATCCTCTCCCAACGATCATAGTTCTCTAGATCATCCTGATTATCCCTATTAAACCCATCATTGTCCCATCCTTGATTGTCGTAATACGGTACCAGTTCCGAAGAGTGTTGACCCTCTCGAGATGGCTGTGGACTCGATCTATTCGAGCCACGTGGACGCCTTGGTGACCGTGAGTTCGGCCTATTCGAGCCACGTGGATGCCTTGGTGATCGTGAGCTCGGCGAACCATGTGGATGCCTTGGTGACCGTGGGCTAGGTCTATCCGAACCATGTGGATACCTTGGTGATCGTGGGCTCGGCTTATTCGAGCCATGTCTAGGCGCACGCGGACTGGATCGAGCTGAATGCTGCCCCTGTCTAGGCGGGCTGAGCATGGATGACTGGCCATGACTGTTTCTTGCCAAGGTATCATCGTTGTCCACCGTTTCTTCTTCTTGGTCTGATTCTGCATTGAAAAAAAAAAGAATTATGCGCGCGGTAATATCCGGTCAATTCTCGTCTATACTCATGCAACTCTTGTTCTCGTTTAACCGAGGCATTGAAAAAACTCTCATGCAAACTCTCACTTGCCAACTCTCGTCAACTTTCACCCAGGGTCATCACCTACCTATACTATCCAGGCTCGTGGTTGGTTGATTATAACAATGAAAGACAATAAAACTATAGAAATCGTCTTTCTAAAGAACGAGTCACGAACAACGATCGTTTTTGTTTCTGAAAGCCAAACACAAAACATGAGCATTTTCAGTAGGTCTTGAGCAAGATATCTATGGTCTTTTAATACCCCTCACCAACGTTGGATGATTTGATTAGAGCTTAAAAATTCCACACACTGTACACACCTTGCTTAACATCACCATCATCATTATTATCATCATCACCACCACCGTCATCATCACCATCATCAGCAAACCTAATCTTCCCTTTTGACTTTTTCCCACTTTTCCCTTTAAAAACGGAAACTCGCGGAATAAGATCACCAAGTGACGTCTTCTTTTTCCGCTCCCTAGTATCATCCTCAGTTCCCTGACTATCCCTTGATTCGTACGTTGCTTCGGCATCCATGAACGATCCTGTACGAGGTCCCCGTGGAGTCGGAGGTGACTGGTTTTCCACTCTGATTCGTTGAGAAACTCTGCGTTGACGCGTCATAGCAGGTGAAATTTTTACTTGGAAGAAATTTCGTACTGGTGATGAGGGCCCAAACATAATTCCACCAAGTTCTTCGAGATCAGATTGAATTTTATTAAGATCCACCACCTGTAAAAACAATAAGATGAATAACACTGTACGTAACCCAAATTTGACAATAGCTAATTTTCTATTTTTTTTATCAATGCACATTTCATAAGCAATAAAGTGAGTCTGCAAGTCCGGAGACCGGGGGGGGCTTTGAATTACTGAGTTTAGGGCACTTTAAGTTCGATAAAACACTTAGGTAAGCGACGTAAACAGATTTTGCAAGCTTTAGTGGTATCAAATAATGTGCTCAAAACCATACCGTGTTGTCTTGAAGGCGCTTCAATTTTTCAACATCTTTCAACAAAACATCAAAGGCGCTAATCTTCCCTTTGCCAACACGACGGCTAAACCTCTGCGTCAAAATCTCATGGCTTTTCTTAAAATCTTTCTGCACCTGTTCAGCGTTTTTCATGACCTGCCGTGCGTCTGCAGACGTCTCGGTCGCGAACGCGGAAACGAACTCAGGACTCGCGTGTTCACGGACGTAACGAAAGTAGATTTCCTTTCGCTTTTTCGTGAGAAACTTCTCGATGTTGAGGACGTTAATCGCTCGCTGCATGCTCGTGTTTTCGACTGCATTTGAATAGACTGAGGTGAATGTGTTTGAGAGGTAAGCAATGAGGATGTTGAGACAGACAATTACCATGACAGTGATATAGAGAGCGCTCAGGAGTCGAGCCATTACTGAATCCGCAGCAACTAGACCTAAAGGAATTATTATAAACACATATATAAAATAGATATCAGGTTTTTGAGTATCTTGATACAACTAAATATTGAAGAGTTTTGTACAGGGAATTTTAGAGTATAAATTTAATATACATTTTTTAGATTTGCATTTACAGAATCCGAAGTTAAATTTCTGTGAAACTGGGAAAAACTTTTGCAGTTTCTAGCGGTTAACCTCAAGAGAACATCAGCCCAACCTGAAGTGAACCTCCAATCAGCATCACTGTATCATAGCAATGAACCTTACTACGACACCACTAGATGCAGTGTCCTCACAACATGCTTCCAATGAAAACCATGAATAGCATTGACTATGCACGGCCATAGTGCACGGCACACAGTTAACCGCGTGCCACACGCGTATTGACCACGCGCAACACGCAATTAACCGCGTGCCACACGCGTGTTGACCACGCACGACAAATCTTACCGTCAATATCGAAATCTTCTCCTAAGGACATTTGCAGGGTGGTGTAAATAAGACGTTGCGTTGATGCATAACTTGGTACCTGCGTCAATGCTTTCCCGCCGAATATTATCCAGAAAGAACAAGTGAATGGGATAAACAACAGCAAATAGAAGAAACCCCAGTTCACAAAATCTCCCCCGGTTGCCCCCAGGATGAGGACTAAGGTTCCAATCCCCGGGAAAGGCCGAAGGTACTTCAGGATTCGTAACCAGACGAATATAACCAGGACGCTTAGTACACGAATGTACCCTGATTTAACCGAATCCGAGCCGTCCAAGAAGAAAGCTAAGTTCAAGCCGATTGCGACGAAGATAAGGAGGATAATTAGCCAATCAAAAATAAACCACGAGTCAATAGTTGAGAGTAAAGGCACTCCTTTGATCAATCTCATTTCCTCCTGCACGTATTTCTCTTCCTGCCACCTCGGGTGACAATACTGCAAGTCATCGTTCAGCTGCTGTATCCGACATTTTATCCACGATTTTTGCTTCTTCTGTGCTTTTATTGTAGCTGTAGAAAAGAAACAATCAGACGTGAGAAGTGGAATGTTCAGCGTAAGGGTCTAGTAAGTACCATCCCTTTTAGGAGCAGTATTAATTAATACAGAAGGAAACTGGATTATCTGGAGGAAGCCTGGGTACACTAGGGGAGGCGAAGGCGGGACAACCGCTCCCCAATAATACTAGCATAGGTGTACCATACATGTATATCTCACTGTGGCGAAGCTAACCATGGCAACTGGTCATTTCTAAAGGTTGAATAATGCAAATCATTAAAAACGTGCACAGCATGACCTGTTGCTATGGCTAGCTATCTCAACAATGAGGGTGCATAGTAAAACAACACAACACAACACAACACAACACAACACAACACAACACAACACAACACAACAACTCACTTCTAACTTGCAAATACATCATGTACGTCGTGATAAGTATCAAAACGATACCAAAAAATAATCGCCATCCTTTGTCACTCAATGGTAAATACAAATCTTCACCAACGGCAGGGGTTTCCACCGCAAAGACAGTAAACATTATTGCATACACCAGGTTTACCCCAAGATCCAAAATTGTCCCAAATTTTCCATATTGATCCCATTTTATCGCGACCAGTCGCTGCATCACTGGATGCATCAGCACATCAAATTGTCGTCCAATGACAGCAGTTTCTAGCGGCGTCCTCGCTTTTCTAGTTTCCTTTCTCAAACGAGATTCTTCTAGTAAATTAAGGTAGAAAAGCTCCCGTCTTGTGATGGTGTCTGACACGTGCAGTTGATCTAATGCCTCTACAGCAAGGTTGGGCAACTTCTCTGTAAGCACTGTCATTGCAGAGTTACCGTTGGCATCGTATAGACAGCTTGAGGCTCCTTCGTCAATCAAAATTCTCGCAGTTTCCGCACGGGACAGCTCAGCAGCGACCTGAAATATAGATAGAGAAATGTTAGAGGAGGTAGAGAAGCGCCTTGTGCTATAGTGAATGGTTATTGGCCAGGGCTGAAATCAAGAAGTGCCCTGCTGCATTGATAAGGATAGTTCTCACTGGACCTTTAGGGAGAACAGTAATAGAGCTATCCAGTTACTTCAGTCTAGGTTTCAGTTCTAAGCATAAGTTCATTACCTGTACGGGAGGTCGTCCTCTGCTGTCTAACGAATCAATATTAGCTCCAAACCCTAGCAATGCCTTTAATGAAGCCGTCGCGTCGTTCTTGGCTGCAAAGTGCAAGGGTGTCTGTCCATCACCGGTAGATCGAGAGTCGATGTCGGCACCTCGTTGAAGAAGAAATTCCACCATGTCAGCGTGATCTGCGGCTGCGCACACGTGTAGCGGGGAACGTCCATATTTGTCTTGTTGGTTAATATCCGCCCCTAAAGTTTGAGTTTATTGAGTTTTATTGAGTTTCTCACTCATTGGTCAGCGGATCCCCGACAGGCTATTGGCCAATTAATAGGGGATCCGAGATACCTACCTATTTAACGTTCTTATTCGAGAAGACGCGAAAGTTAACAAATTTTACTATTTATTGAAAGTTTTCAAATTTTGGCATTTGAAAACGGAGTTCTGGCATTTGAAAAGGAAGTTTTGGCATTTGAAAACGGAGTTCTGGCATTTGAAAAGGGCGTTTTGCCATTTGAAAAGGGCGTTTTTCCATTTGAAAAGGGCGTTTTGGCATTTGAAAACGGAGTTCTAGCATTTGAAAAAGGCGTTTTGTCATTTGAAATGGGCGTTTTGCCATTTGAAAAGGGAGTTCTGCCATTTGAAAAGGGCATTTTGCCATTTGAAAAGGGAGTTCTGCCAATTGAAAAGGGCGTTTTGCCATTTGAAAAGAGAGTTCTGCCATTTGAAAAGGGCGTTTGGCCATTTGAAATGGGCGTTTTGCCACTTGAAATGGGCGTTTTGCCATTTGAAAAGGGAGTTCTGCCATTTGAAAAGGGCATTTTGCCATTTGAAAAGGGAGTTCTGCCAATTGAAAAGGGCATTTTGCCATTTGAAAAGGGAGTTCTGACATTTGAAAAGGGCATTTTGCCATTTGAAAAGGGAGTTCTGCCAATTGAAAAGGGCGTTTTGCCATTTGAAAAGGGAGTTCTGCCATTTGAAAAGGGCATTTTGCCATTTGAAAAGGGCGTTTGGCCATTTGAAATGGGCGTTTTGCCACTTGAAATGGGCGTTTTGCCATTTGAAAAGGGAGTTCTGCCATTTGAAAAGGGCATTTTGCCATTTGAAAAGGGAGTTCTGCCAATTGAAAAGGGCATTTTGCCATTTGAAAAGGGAGTTCTGCCAATTGAAAAGGGCGTTTTCCAATTGAAAAGGGCGTTTTCCCATTTGAAAAGGGCGTTTTTGAGAAAATTCTCCTTGTGGCTTATATAGTTGCATTCCTTTCATCGAAAGTTTGTTCATTTGATTGGCACTACTGTACCTACACTGGCAAAGACAGTTCAAAAAAATCTACATACCATTTTTAAGAAGAAAAGCCGCGACATCCAGGTTCCAATTTCTGGCCACCTCGTGAAAAATTGTTTGACCATAAGTATCAACAGCTTCGTTGATATTCGCGCCTCCATCAAGCAAGGATTGTACAAACTCATAATTGAATTGATCTGTTTCACTGTTAGACACAGCCAAGGTTGCAATGTAATGTAGCAATGCCCGATTACGGGTCAACGTTCTGTCCGACATTGTTGGTACGGTTTCATCAAGATCTTTACCCAAGGCGGCGTAAATTGGTTCGTTTGCTGCTTTATTTTTACCTATACAGTACGTAATGGGATTATATTTGTTGAACAACCACTCTGATATGATCTCCCTATCGGTCCAGTAAGACCCACCCCTTATTGCAGTCCGTGGTACAGCAGGAGGAAACCCAAAGTAGACTATAGTAACTTCATTTCCGCCTTATCTTGGTACAACCTCGTACCCAGGCTCTTTCCACGCTAAAGAGGGAAGAGCCTGGGAACGAGGTTGATCTTGGTCGTCCAGTGGAAAATAAATAAAGTTAGTTTAGTTTAGGTTTCCTCCTAACTTTATTTATACTGGATAGCTCTATCACTTATAAACTGTTCTCCCTAGAGGTCCAGTAAGGATCATCTCTTATTGGTCCAGTGTTACTACAGGAGGAAACCTAAACTAAACTAACTTTATTTATACTGGATAGCTCTATCAGTTCTAAACTGTTCTTCCTAGAGGTCCAGTAAGGATCATCGCCTATTGATCCAGTGTTACTACAGGAGGAAACCTAAACTAAACTAACTTCATTTATACTGGATAGGTCTATCAGTTCTAAACTGTTCTTCCTAGAGGTCCAGTAAGGATCATCTCCTATTGATCCAGTGTTACTACAGGAGGAAACCTAAACTAAACTAAATTTATTTGCACTGGATAGTTTTATTTGTACTTATGTGTTCTTCTTAGAGGTCTAGTAAGAATCTTCTCTTAATGGCGCATTGTTACTACAAGAAGACAAACTTCAACAAACCTGAGCCATTCTTGAGCATGAGTTCTGCAATAGATCTAAACGCTGTGCCAGCCTCGCGTCGATGTGAGTCGAGCTCGTCTTCATAGCCTCGTCTATGTTCCATGATTATTTTTAGAAAACCTGGGGATGTCTGCTGCAATGTAGGAAAATGAACATTAGTCTGTTTACCAAGCGAGGCCATCTTGTAGATCATGGAATGTATCAAACGGCATCACAATGTTTATAATTATATACAAAGTTCTGTCTGTAATGTCTCTTAATTGCGACTTTATCATTCTGGTTATAAAAGATACAATCTATGATGGTCCTGGAGAACAACAAGATTAGTCATGCAATGAAACTAATTTGAATATATTTTCTACAGTATAGCTTCGCTACAGAAGCAGCATATAGTTCTCCTCAGTATAATATAAGTTCAGACACAACAGGGGCATACGAAGCAGGGGGAGGACCCCCCCCCCCACTATACCTGTCACGTTTTAGGAAGAGTTACTATTTTTTAGACTTTTGTATAATTTTGTATTCTTTTGTATTTTAAACTTAACCCTAATCCTAACTCTAACCCTTATTCTAGTCCTAACCCTAATCTTAATCCTAACCCTGAAAGTCAAAAAATAATAATATTAGGATGTTAGGGTTTGTAATCCAAGTGAGAATATATACATTTTAAGACCTAACCAGAAACGACTGCAAAAAATGCAGCACAAGGTCCTCTGGTAGGAATTGAACCTACGGCCCTGCGATTCCGGTGCAGCGCTCTAACCAATTGAGCTAACCGTAAGTTCATGTATATATAGGTAATCGGGTGTGCGGGTTGTGATAAGGTGGACTTGAATGACTTAGATTCTTGCACTTCACTTGGTGGAATTAGAAAAATAATAACTGTTCCTAAATCGTGACTCATATGGTATTTTTCGGCAAGTTGCAACCCTATCAATCCGAAGGTTTTTCTAATAAATTGTACAACGTTAGACGCCAGCGTCAGGAGCCGGAAGACCCTGGAGGTTAGTGTCTACTAATTTTCGCACCAAGGGCCTTCGCTCGAACGTCGAACGAGTTTGTTCTTGTTTTTCAGTTGCATCGTCAACACAAGTTCGCAATCTAAGTAGTTTTCACAGCCTGCTGTCCTTTGTTGTGCATGATATATTTATAAACAACTAAAATAGTTTTCGTGTTGAATGTTATCAATTTAAATGACTTTGCATTTCTATAGCTTATAAGCTTTGATTGCGGTATACAGCTAGCACACCACTAAATGCAGTTTTAAAGACGAAATTTGGCATTCAGGAGCGTTGAGGTCGTTGGTTTGTCAATCAAAAACATTTACTAAGAGATTGAATGACCAAAGATTGATTGACTATCACGTATTCTAGATTTAAGTCAAAACGTCGTTGGTACATCAAACCTTTATTTTGTTAATCTAGAGCTTGAAATGTCCCCCGCGTAACAACTCTCATTCTCGTTTCATCTTTAACCGGTGTTCTCAGGCGATCAAATTTTTAAAATAATTAATTTGACTAACCTTACACAGTTACAGGCTCTCTGTAGTCAAAGTATTTGTCTGAGGAATTCCTTTAATCAAGATTATCGTTCTTCCTACTTCCTCGTTTTTTTCTTATAGATGACTCGCATCCAACACTTGAATCTTAACCAGGCATTCTCATTTCACGACATCTCCCTGATCTATTCAGAAAAAGACCGATTCAACATATTTCTCAACATTGTGATTTCTCAGACAATTACTGGTTTTGTTATCGATTCACGACCTCGCTTCATTTCATTTGTGGAACTTCACATCTTTGTTTTCAAATAACTCCCGTGGTTATATGTGCATTGAATAAAATTCTTTCTTTCATGCTTGCATGTTTATTATGAACCGCAACTCGGAGGCGTTTTAGCCGGCATTTTGTTAAATTATAGAGTATAGCCTATAGGAAAACATTTTCTTCAATTATTGAATCTCGTATTAGTAAAATGATCATAGGAATGCTATTTCGTGTGACCTAAAGCCTGGTTTCTATATGGTCGTAACAGTCGTAAAGATTGAGTCACGATCTTTCTCATCAGCCGAAATACAACATTTTAGAACTGCGAATACGCGGAGTGATTATAACTAGAGAATACTTATGATTTATATGTGGTTTACAGGTATAAAGCATTATAAACTGGCCGTTGAGAAAGATCGTGACTTTATTTTTACCAGGTTTAAAGCCCCATACGGTCAACAAGTTTTCCTTGACAAGTTTTGTTGTTCGTGTGCGCAGAATGTTGTTAAACATTTATCTCACGTCAAAGGCCGCCTTTGTTTGCCAAAACCATAGAAGTATTTCTTGTATACTTCTCAAGTTTTCCTTGGCGGTAGCATTATTACTCATTTTTACACATTATTACTTATTTTTTTGAGGAAAGTAAATCTTTATTCAAGAATTAAGTAAATTTGGAATTTTACTCAAAAATTGAGTATAGTTGCCCATAATTCCATAAACTTCAGTCATGTTACTCAAAATTTTGGCTAATCACTGTGGGTGAAATATTTTACTCAAGTGTTTTTAATTGAATATACTCAGGAATTTAAAAAACGGAAACATTTTGTAAAAAAAGTACATTTACGCACGAGTACGAGGTGCCTGTGGCTAAACTAAATTTGTAATTTTGTTTAATAGCTCCATTAATACTCCATTAGCTCTAAATTATTTTCCCAAAAGGTACAAGGATCAACCATTATTGGTCCAGAGCAGGAGAAATCTGAAGTACGCAGAAAAAACTCGCGATATTTAGTAGAACGAAACTGTTCTTCTCACATCCGACTGAGGTGAAATTATAATCATTAAAGTGGGCTTCACGTTAAATAAGAGCGACACGCTATAAACATAGAACAAAAGTTATTCCGAATAAGGAGAGCATAATACTAACACACAATTTATCAAAACTTTTGTTTGAATATTTGTTCAAAAGTTTTGATAAATTGTGTTAATATTATGCACACCTTATTCGGAATAACTTTTGTTCTACACTATAAATACATCTGCATATGGGAACTTAAAAAATGTTGAATTAAAATGCTCTTTATTGTCAAATATTTGCCTACTTTAATTCAGGAAGTTGATAAAGACATTTATTTTAGTTCATAAAGATGTCGTTGTATACGACAGTTAATGATGAAAGAGCTTTATTAGGGACTTTAAGATGACGTTTACGGCAAACCGCTAACCGCAAATTTCAAATCGTAATTTGAAGTCAACTGTTAGCTGTTCGAAGTTAGAACAACTTGTGCACTAAAATTGGAGCATGAATGAACTACTTTTAGCTGTCGAAACTGTATGTCTTACTTGCAAATGCTATTTGAAGTTTGCCGTAAACGTCAATCTTAAAGTCCGAATAAGATCAACTTGAAAAACTTCAAGAGTTACTTCGTACCCAGGTTCTTTCCTCCACGCTCCAACCTTGAGGCAGAGGAAAGAGCCTGGGCATGAATTCTGGGTATAAGGTTGCTTCCATCCTTGTTCCCAGGGAAATAGCAGTTTTCTGAGAAGCCAATCAGATCTCTCCCTTAAGTTGTCTAACCCAGAGCCTGTTCAACGAATGACGGAGTAAAACTGGACGAGATTGGGTTGATTCGAGAGCTACCCATCTTCATTTCCAACACGGCTGCCTGGGAACGAAGTTGGACTACCCAGCATCGCTTTGCCCACACTGAGGAAGGCAAAAATTGTAAAATGACTCAGTTAGGAATAGTTCTTCGTCTTTCCATGCCACCCAACCGTTACGTTGTAGAGAGTCAATGTCAGGATTTCCAGAGAAATGTGGATCCTGAAAAGATACAGTGATTTAGTACCACTGTTCTTCCAAGTATGTCTTCAAAGAGTTTAGAAGAAGCGTTGTATGCAGAATATAGTGTTGAAATATTAAGCCATGCTTGTTAAAGGTAGATTATATTTTAACCCTTTGGGTGGCAATGCACCTTGATGTACCCTACTTTATTATAGTGCTCTGTCTAATGCCAGACGATTTTGCTGCCACTCAATGGGTTAACTTTTTCTTATCTTTTTCTATTCTTCTATTTTATCCATAAAATCCCAACCCTACCCTAATTTCAAGATCTTAGAGATTAGCTGTGAGAAATGTAGAACTTACTAAAATCAGAAAGTATTTCTTGTTGCCGTCTGTAGCGATCCCCAGCAAAGCTTTGGACGCTGCATCTGAATCACCACCTGATGTGCACAAAATAGCATGAGAGGGTGGTTAGAAAAGTGTTGCAAGGAATGGTAGAAATAAGGATGGAAATAGGAAGGAAGAAGGAAGGAAGGATGAAAGGAGAAAACAGAAGGAAGGGAATGATAAAATGAATGAAGATATGTAAGGAAGAATAGGAAGGATGGAATGCAAAGATGGAAGGGAATGATGAAGTGAATTAAGAATTGGGGATGGCAAAGAAGAATGAATGGAATGATGGAACAGAAGAATGGGTGACAGATTAATGAACAAAGACAGGACAGAATGAAAGGACTGGTCGAAACAGCAGTAGGAAAGATGGAATGCAAAGATTGAAGCAAATGTTGAAGTGAATGAAGGGTTGAGGATGGCATAGAAGAATGAATGGGAAGATGGAACAGAAGAATGGATGAAAGGATATGAACAAGGGCAGGACAGAAAGAAAAAAGAAAGGAAATGATGAAGTGAATAATGAATGGGGAGAAACAATAGGATGGGGAAAGGAAAGAGAGCAAATGGAAGAAGGAAAGAATTAAGGAATGGAAGGAGGGGAAAAGATGAAGAAAAGGGAAAGAAAAGAAGGAAGAAATGAAAGGAAAGTCAGGAATGAGATGGTAAATCTAGTGTAATTAATATAGAAATGAATGTTCTTACCAATCATTACCGGAGAACCAAACTTCTGAAAATGTTCAACAAATTCATCAAATTTTAATCCTACTTCGCTTCCACTTCTTACATGAATTATCTTACTTGAAATCTGAAATATCATAATAATAATAATAACTTATGTTATCATGTATTGATGCTCACATACATAACTCTAAATTTCTCACTCAATGCAATCTTCTTCAGGTGAAGATGCTTCAGGCAATGTTTATACACTTATACCAGATAACTTTCCATAGTGATGTGAAAAAGCCCCACAGTATCCGTACCTTTTAGGAACGCTATTTTCAGAGGAATTATTGCAACATAGAGATGGTGTTTCGTTCAGCTTCTGAAAGATGTACTTTCTGTATTGGATAGGTGCAACTTTACACTATACAGCACCGCTATGAAAAGCTATCCAGTATAATGTAAACGTAACCTCAGCCTCAGGTAAAGATGCCTGTACATCTGTTTGTTACATATAGAACTTTAAAAAAGTGCAGGAAAACGAGAAAGATATATGCACATTTCTTACATTATAGCAATGGTCTAGAAACAAGCATATTTCAAAGGATCCAATCCATTCTCTTGACTTCATAAATGTTGAAGGTTTGTCACCAATTGTAACTAATGTTTCCTGAATCTTGGATAAGCTCGGCACATTTGGTGATTGAGTTTCAATGTTGCAATTATTGTTTATCCAAGAACACAAGGTTTGCAGGGTGCGATATGCACATCCCCAACCCTACAATACATTTCAAGATAAGCTAGAGTCTAGGAGGAACGTTACTTGGTGTTTTAATCTAATATTGTACAGCTACAAGTTTTCACTTGAAAAGTCAGTCTTGCAAAATTGTCTTACACCAGATAATTTCAGCTGGCTACAACATAAGGCAGCCAGGGCAGTTATGGTAGTAGTGGTATTAAGGCTTTTTGAAACAATGCCAGCATGTTGGTCCAATGTCATCCAAATCGTTCGAACAGGGCTTTAAGCTGCAATGTGTTCTTTATTTAATACCAGATGTTACTCCTCAGAGGAATGTCTTAACCCTTTAAGTGGCAATGCACCCTACTTACTATTCAGTGTCTAAATGTCAAAGAATTTTACTCGTTAGGGACCGGTCATTATTTATGGAAGGGGGGGGGGAGGGAAAAAATAAGGGGGGGCCATATGTAGAAATAAATGACAAGGGGGGGCTATTGAATTTTTTCGAGAAAATGACGGGGGGGGGGTGCAATTAAATTTGAAGGAATTTGCTTAATAACCTGGTATCCATTTGGTTGTAAATGTTGCAACTAAATCATGGTCACTGATGTGAAATAGTCTGGATTCATCTTGTCTTCTGTGTGCTGTATGCAAATCAGATTTACGGTTTGCAGACTAGTTAAATTGACAATGTATTATTACATCAGCCCTTGATGTGGTTAAATACATTTAAATTAAGCAAGGTTAACGGCGGATGTATTATGCAGGCCACATCTGCTGAGGGGAGTCTGTGACGTCATATCGATCAAAGGGAGTTGTTTCATGCCTTGTGATCAGCGCTTCGGTCTGGGTATTCATTCTGCCATTGTATGCTTTGCCTAGCTGCAGCAAGTTTTGCGCTTCGATTCCTTTTCCCGACCCACCCACCCATGTTCATTCTAAAAGATTTTATCTGGTAGCTAGTATGTCATTTTATTTTATATAATTTTAAATCTCACATAAAATAGGATGTATAGACCACTATACATTGTATTTCGCAGGTATGCCTTTGCAGAATTGTCATTGCTATCTCCTTTTGCTGCTAATATTACTGATTGTTGCTCTCATTGTTGCTCTCATTGTTGCCACGCAGCTGCTATGGCAATACTTCATACCATCAAGTCTAGTTGCAGCCTTAAACATGGTTACGATCACCCAGACCAAATGGAAACCTGATTTTAGTGTTATATATAAAAATACTCCTCTTTTAATTATAATTTTCTGCTAATATATTTTTGGTCGACGTTAATATCTTGCCAGTTCCATATTCTTATTTAATAATTAACACTATATAAACGCCTGGGTATCCCCATTTGACAAGTAAAAGTGAAAATGAGGGGAGGGGGGGGGGTCATCATTAAATTTCTGCTCTTTTAGGGGGGGGGCTTTCAATTTTAAAAATTTAGAAAAGAAAAAATTCCCCTCCCCCCTTCCATAAATAATGACCGGTCTCTTAAAGGGAGAGAGCTGCCTCTCAATGGGTTAAAGGGTGAACTAGACTTTGTCATCCACTAACAATCAACACAGCATTCAGTCACCAAATGCACTCTACATAAGACTGATAACAAATAGATTACATCACACTTGGCAGACATGTTCCTTGACAGGGGGGAGGAAGGGTCAAAACTATTGTGGAACAAGTCTGCTAAGTAGGACAAAATCTATTTTTCATCCTTTTAAATAAAAAATAATTTCTACTGCAACCAACCACATCATTGTGACCATCACAAGCATAGTGATAATATTGATACGTCCCGCTCACAAGATAACATTGAAAACACGGCAGAGGTAAGCCAATATGAACACTGGATAAATACATTTAGATCAATTTCAAAATATCTAGAAAAATAAAACAAATACCATTTGCAAAGAACATATTCTACATGATTTTGCATCCACGTGAAAC